GAGCTACTTGACGGTGTGTGGCCGGAAAATCACTCTGATGGTCAAGTTAGCATACACTCAAAGATAGAGAGAGAGGAGAGACTTGAATGTATAGATTTATCTCACCAAATTATGTTCCATCCCAGCATGGGGGCGCAGACACGCTTATATACTTTCTGCACCCAAATCTGCTCCTATTAATCTCTTAACACGTGGTGCTGCTTTTCCATCTGTCAACACAAATCCTGCAATCACCACCTGACCAAATTGTCAGGCTCTATTAGCGGAGCCCGGCAGACCGGCAGAACCACCTCGACCTTTCACGACCGTGCTGCGCAGCGTACCCAAGTGCTCCAGAACGACCGAACTCTAGAACAACCGAACTCGGTTACATTCCGGCAAAGCCGAGTTCAAAATAGGTCGAGCCAGCAAACCGAAGGCCTTCCTGCCGTGCTAAACGCGTGAACCGTGGAATCCAGCATAGCAGGCAATCATCTCGGCCGAGCAACTCAAGTAGCTCAGTTCTTTACATAGACAAGCCCACGTAGCTCGGTCCCAACATGGTCCTGGGCCTCAACTGAGTATAACCTTATCAGGACAAGCCCAAGCTATCCCGGCCCAAGCATGTTCGGCCCCTCATTTTGCTCGGCCTTTACCATGACTCATTCCAGCTTATAAATCTCTCTCTCAATATATATATATAATATTTTTAGTGAATGATAGTTGTGCTTTAAAAATAACTTTGTGTGCTCTAGAAAGAGTACTAGAGGTAATTTTGAAACACAAAACGAACGTCTTAAAAATATTCAAGATAGTGGTCCTTAATGCCATAAATTAAAAATTAACTAAAGATAAAGTTGACTTGACCAAACAACAATTTCTAAATTGTTGCTCAAGAAAGAACCGAAACTTTGTTTTCCTTCTAATTTAAATATTAAAAAAATAATAAATAACTAATAAGATAGAATCATGCTTCTCATGAGTATTGGTTTCGGGTGGTTTTAAATACACTAAATTGTTCCCCGAGGAAGGGCATCTTGTCATTTTTGTTCTTTTTCATTGTTTTTAAATAGAAAAAAAAAAAAAAATTCCAGCCCCCTAATGTCCCCTTCTCTTCTCTGAAAAAGCGAAAATGACATGTATATTATATCATCCGACAAAGAGTGCTAAAGTTAGTCCCGTTTGGGAATGTATTATTTTGATAATTTTTTAATTTTTTAATTAAAATATGAGGTAGAAAAAATTTTTATACTTGAAATGGCTTTTTTATTTTTTACGAAAAGATATGTAAAAAAGTAGAGAGAAAAGAAAATATTTGACTTTTTAATATAAGTTATAGATTTTTTACTTTTTATAATAATTTTTTGACTTTTAGACTAAAATTATCATTTTTCAAACGACGCCTTAGGGTGTTTTGAGAAGATAGTTAAAAACTGTTTTTTTTACTCTTTTGTGAGAGAATGAAGTGAGTTAAAAGCTGGAAGTGACTTTTAACCCATTTTCCAAAGTAAGCCTAATTTAGATTTTAGAGGGTTCAAATAAAATTATATAATAGATTTTGAAGTTTAAAATGCTAGTTTATTTATTTATAAATAATCAAAAGTGTATGGAACTAATTGAATTTTTTGAAGTTTGGAGGCCAAACAGTTTTTTTTTATTTTATTTTATTTTATATAAATATTCAAAATCAAGCAAGGCTAATTGAATTTTTCTAAAATTTATGAGAACCATGGCTATTGTCCACTTCTATATCCGTCATTATAAATCATGTGAGTATAAACAGTTCGCGTGATGATTTCTCTAGCATTATTGTTTTTGGAGTACTATACAAATTTTATATTTTATATGATATAAATATGTATTGTCCAAGACTTGATTTATGTGTAGTCCAAGACTCGATGATAGTGAGATAGCAATTCTGCCTTTTTCTTTTTGTCCATGAATTGCATATTGATTGTGCCAATTCAATTAATTTGTCACTATTTGTTGAATTGAGTGTGTTTGGTCCCTTGCTTCTTCAGCTAGCAGCATACCCAAAATACTTTTTTTTTAAAAATGAGCAGTTTTGTGTTTTCCTCTCCAAATGCATTACGCATATATAAGAAAGCAAGCTTTTGGTATTTATGTTATTAAACACTATTGAAAAATGTTACATGTCAATGTCATTAATTTTTCTATCATCAATTTATATCACATTCTATGTGAATACCAAATAACATTTTACCATGTAATCTAGTGATGTAAAATAGTTACAAAAAATAAAAATAAATAATTAAAATGATACATCGCATTCCTCGTAACTATATTAAGTAGTTTTTGCAAGAATCAAGTTGTTAATTGATTCTCATACAGGGTAATCAGGCCAAAGATTCAATTCTAAAATTGTTGGGTCAATAGATCCAAACTCTATTTATTTGGGGCTAATAGGATAATTTAAACACATCGTCTATCTGTCCACGTATCATCTCACTTTTTGTTTATGTATCACTTATCTGTCCACTTAATCTAATTATTTGTCCATATTATCACCGCAACCACTTGTTGCCGTCGGCAATTTTTCGGGCAAACATGTCATTGGTGGTGACTTTTCTGGTGATTCGATAGTGGGGGTACAATTGAAAACAAAAAATAAAAAAAAATAATTTGTTTTTTCTCACAATATAATTTCACTAAATATGTCCTTATCAAAAAAATAAATTAAATCTTGAGTGTGCACTTTTCACCAATTATCCCTATTTTAAATTGATAATGTTATATAAATTAATAAATTTTATAAAAATTAACAATTAACTACTAATATAACACCTATTATATCATTAAAATAATTCATGCTTTAATTTTTGAAATTTTATTAGTATATGATCTATCGATTATTAAGAATAATTTATATAACATTTTTCAGTTTGTATATGTTTTATATGAAGTTGATGTGTTAATGTCAATTTGCTTTAATCAGATATACAGTTGGAGTATTCTTTATTTGTTACACATAATTATCAATATACATAGCATGAATTGTTGACTTTATGGTTGTATATTCAATTTTTAATTCAATTTCTACATCAATTGGTTGGCAGAATCTAGAACTATGTAAGTAAATTTCATTTTCGATTTGTCACTCACCCAAATAATACTGACTTACAAAAATCTCTAAGTCCAATCACTTGTATAGATATTATGGTGCACTGTAAGGAATATTACGTTATTTTGTATTCACCCAAAAAAACATTAGCTTATTTTGTGAAAAAAGTTTTTTAAAAAATAAAAATTGATAAAAAAAATTATGTTTATCACCTGTTAAAAAAAATTAAAAAACAACCCAATTTCATATTAACTTTTTTAACTTATAAAAAAGTCAAAAAAATATTGAAAAATAATATCAAACAAGTTTTTAGTCATGTTACTCATACACCAAGAGGTCAGTAAATCAATTCTTATTTAAAGGCAATGGATGATTAGTGAAAAACACAAACGCATGACTTTCAAAGAGTATATAATAATTTTTTCTCATTAAAAAAATATCAAACAAACTCTTAGTTATGTTACTTACAAACCGATAGGCCAGTAAATCAACTCTTATTTAAAGGCAATAGTTGATTATTTTTTTTCTTCTAATTATGTAAGTGTTCTTTTAATTGTTTGTTTCTTCCTCCTTGTGAGGAAAAATTACGGCACTCTTGGAGCACAACACTCTACACCCTTAAATTATAAAAATGCTCCGTATTTAGAAAAATTGAGGCTCGAATGGTACGAAAAATATTATTTTATTGGTAAGAGAATAAAAAAAAATCTTAAAACGACATCATTTTAAGATTTCGAGCCATTTAAGCCTTTGATTTTTCGAACTCCGTAACAGTATTGCTTAAATTATTGTATGATGGTAATTTAAGAGCACCCAATAATTACTTCCGTATGAGAGTTTTTGTGTAATTAGTGTTGAGCTTGTTGCATTGTTGGACCATTTTTAAATGGTTGATTATTCATTTTTAACATAATTATCTTTGATATTTGTAAAATGTAATTAGCCTACTGATTTATAAAAAAAGAAAACAAAAAGTTTGAAAATGTTTGAAAATGTTTCAAATATAAATGTTTTATTTTAAAGTGAAATTTTCACATTCACATCATTTAGTATAAAAAATTTATATAAATTTTTTTATTTATATTAATAACTTAATATGACATCATGAAAGAGAATATTCAAAAAATATGAAAAGGGTCAAGTAAGTCTTTTCCATCCATAGAAAAAGAAAAGTATCACAAAAATTTATTGGAAGTGCTGAAATAAAGACAAAATCCAAGAAAAAAATGAGAACAGATGGGCCTACGTCACCCATCTAGAAAGCTTGACTTTGATGAAAGCATAACAGCCCTCCAAATGAGCCAACGCCATCAACAAAAGCTCTGTCATAAAGAAAGTGACAAATGTTTGATAAAAAAAAAAAAAAAAAATAGAAAGTGACAAAAAAAGAAAAAAAAAAAGAAAAGAAAGTGGCAATGGACCAAAGAGTCATCCATGACAATATTGCCACCACACTCAACCAATCCCATTTAAAAGAATTATTAAATAATTTCAAAATGTTACATAATATTATTTTGATAATAATTTAGATAAATTAAAATTCATAAAACATAATAGGTGAGTCATTTCTTTAAATCAATTATTGAATAACGACTTAATGAAAAAAAATATTAGAGAGGATTTGAATCTAAAAAATTAAATAGTCTCAAAGTATTATTGTTTATCTAGTGTTTCTAACCAATTAAATTTCGCAAGAAATATGATATAAAAGCCAATTTTCGAAACTCATTTTGTAGTCCCAATAACGTTTAAAAGATAGGATTAATTGATAATTAAAAAATATAAATTTAAATATTTTAATAAATTGTTAGATATTTAGAAAGTGAACTTTTGAATTTAAAAACCACTAATTATTTATAAAATATATTTATTGGGTCATTTTTTATCAGTCAACTGTCTAATAATGACAAGTTTCTCTGTACAATTTCTCATTGGTTAGAAGCGCCACAGAACTACCTAATAATTACTCCCTCTTTCCACAAACTACCACATTCACCAATTTCCTCCCCTTCTCCCCCCATCTCTCCCCTCACAAACCACCATGTTTGATCCAAGAACTGAACTTCCCAACAACCATGTTCATCCCTTCAATCCCACTCCACATATATATGACCATTTGGGGAAGATGAATTACGACGCGAGGGCTCGAAAAACAGCACAAAAGTACGAGAATTATAGGAGTCGAAATGGCATGGAAGTCCAATTCAGACCAGATAACATGGGAGAAGATGAGTCAGGTGTTTTTTCGCCGCCTCTATGGAAATCAAGCCCACCCAGAAGCCCGACACACACCCGACATCCCCAGAACAATTACCGGTCTCTATCTCCCAATTCAAGAGCTCAGGCAATAGCAAGAGGCCAGTGGGAGCTCATGGAGATGGTTAAAACCATGCCTGAGTCATGTTATGAGCTCTCCTTGAAAGATATTGTGGATCACCCTACTAGAGTCATGGAAAGTGAAGAAGAGTGTTTGGTTGGTGAGAAAAGCTTTGGCAGAGAAGATTTGAGTCAAAGGGTGAAGGTGGTTAAGAGGCAGGAAAGTAACAAGAATGAGAGTAAAGGAAAGGTGACGATGAGAAGCACAAGTTTTGACAATGGTGGGTTTCTTTTGAAAATGGTTTTTCCATTTTCTTTTGGATTGAAGAAGAAGAAGAAGAACTTGACAACAAACGGTTTGGGATCAAAAGTTTCACCAAAACCTGATAAGGAATGGTGCAAGAAAAGATCTTTTGGTTCGAGCGAGACAGTGGCCGGTGCGGTAAGAAGCAATAGTGGCAGCAGTGGCAGCAGCGGAAGCAGAAACAGCAGCCGCAGCAACAGCAACAGCAGCAGGAGCAGGTATGCTAATTTTCAAGAAAATTGATTCATCACATGAACAATTAAGTTTTTTCTTTTTTTTTCCCCCCCAACTTATTTAGATCTAATTGGTTCAATAAATTAAACTAATATTGATGTTTGGATCAGATCAAAATTGGAGACAGTTCCAGAATTGATTAAATCAGAATAACACTTTTGAGTTTTAGGGTCTCTTATTTACTAAGTCTTAGTCTTCTTCTTCTTCTTTATATTATTTTTATTGATATTATAAATATTATGAAAATTATTAAGTTAGGAATTAAAGACTTTTTATGTGACTACAGGTCATGAGATGTTGGTTGTTCTGTTATTTGGACAAAATTTCCTTATTTCATAATTCATTTCTTTCATTTCAATAAAAATGGAACAGAACAATGAATAATTAATGATACTAAAAGCCCAGAAAAACAGTTAGTTTATTTGTAACAACTACCAAATAGATTTTTATTTTTCCATCTATAACATATTATGTACATTGAACCTCAACTTTCCCATAACCTGGTTAATGTGAAAATATCATATTATTAGTCAAAGTCTCTCTTGGAAAAACAGGGCAGGTGGGAAGGAAGATAAGTAAAATTACAAATAAAGATCTAAGAAAATTCTCTTTACACATCCCATTAAAAAGTGTGTTTCATACGTTCTAGTCGTGCAAATTGTGATCTTTGTTATGAATAACGTTGGTGCTTAGTTATGAAGTTTTGTGGTGGTCAAATTTATGTTTAACTTGATTACGAGACTTTGGTTGTGTTTTTACTTATGATCCAAATTGATTTTGATTATGAGATTTTGTGTCATGAGTTGAAGTAATCTTTGTTATGAGGTTTTGTAATGTTTTGTTGTGAATCCAAGTGACCTTAGTGATGAGGTTTTTATGGTGTGTTTTTTAGGAACCAATTTGGTTTGTTATGCCTCAAATTGATAGAAATTATGAATCATTGTATAATAGCATTTCCCAAAGATATATGACTCCACATGCTTCATTATTGGCAACTTGGTTAAGTTAGGAGAGAGAGAAAAGATGAGAACAAAGTCCATGAGACACCCATAAAAGAAAAGTTCTTTATGACATTTTTACACACATTTCATGAGCATTGATCAAATTTGTGTTAGACATTGTATCTACAACCCTAGCTAAGTGTTAAACAACATTGAATCTACTAGGACAAAAAGAGAGAGTAGCAGAATAGCAATTCAAATTCAACTGAATGATCCCAAATTGATAAGAGAGTGAATATTGAGTCAGATAATGCATTAAAATTTCATCATTTAAGAAAGATGTAGCAGAATAGCTATTCAAATTCAAAATATGATGGCTTTAGTTAGTTCAGTGCAGAGGTATGCATTCAAAATAACTTAATCCAAATCCTCTCATTTACTAAACGGGTTTAAGCAGATTACGTTAAATTAAATACGGGTTACAAATTAATCCGACTAGTTCATTTACTTTGTCGAGCTTCAATACTATGGTTATAAATTATGCAATTAAAATTCAATATCTGTGACATAATTACATCAGTTATTCAACTTAGTACCAGATGTGAATCGTTGACTAATTGCAAGATGTGGTTTTTGATTTGGTTTTGCAGGAACAGTGGTTGGTCACCTGGTTGCTGGTCCTTCTTCATCTCCAATAAAAACAAAGAAAGTGCAAAGTGAATGAGCACTGCCATTTTTGGATTGGCATACTGCATACCCATAAAATAGAATCTTTAGGACTATCACCAAACAAGTGCAATGTAACATATTGTGTATTCCTTGAAATTTTTTGAGTTGGTAATTTTTTTCTTTTTTTCTTTTTAAATTTTATTTATAAAAAAAAATTATGTGTACATGATTCTTGCACAAAAAAGGTCACACCGTTGTCTCTATTGTATGCATGAATTATGTGCACGTAGTAAAATTATATATTTGTTAAATTGTTTTAGGCTTGGTTTGGCAAGATTGGATCATTTACAGAGCAGTCTGATGTTGAAGAGGGAGTTGAGGGAACAGAATGGAGAGGAAATGGCAGCTCCCATACGTGTTTGTGTGTGTGTCTGTGTGTGTGTGTCTGTGAGAGAGAGAGAGAGAGAGAGAGAGAGAGAGACTGGTTTTGCTAGAGAAACAAAAGAATGTGTGTGAGAGAGACTGGATTTGTTTGAGAAACAAAAGTAAAAAACAGAAAGATTAGGGTGTGTTTGGTAACGTTTACGTTTTCAGTTTATATTTATAAGAGTTTTATAAACTGATTTTTGTTTATTTTTTGTTTATTTTTAGAAAAACATAAATTAGAAACGCGTTTGGTAGTTAACAAAATGTTTTAAAAAATTAAAAAATATAAAAAAAAAAGTGAGAAATGACAAGTGGTGGCAAGTGGCGGCGGAAGATGGCGGTGGGAAGTGGGGACGGTGGGGGGTTGTGGTGGTGGTGGTTTGGGTGGTGGGTGGGCTGGGTGACGGTGGCGGGTGTACGAGTGGGTGGCGGATGGCGGGTAGGTAGCAAAGTGGCTGGTGGTGGCGGGTAAGTGGTGGTGGGTGGGGGGTAACTCGGTGCCGGGTGGTGAAGGTTGGTGGCGGATAGCGGGTGGGTCGCTAGTGGTGATGGTGGTTGGTGGTGGGTGGGTGAGCTCACGCGCTGGGATGACGGTGCAGGTGGTGGGTGGTGGTGGTGGGTGAGGGTGGCAGGTTGGTAGTGGTGGTGTGGTGGGTGACGGTGGCAGGTGGTAGGTAGTAGCGAGTGGTGTGGTGGTGGGTGGCGGGTGGGTGAGGTGGTGGTTGATGGTGGTGTTGTGGTGGTGGTGGTGGGTGGTGAGTGGTGGTGGCGGGTGGCTGGTGGTGACAGGTGGGGTTGGTGAGTGTGCTGGCAGAGTAGGTGGCGGTGGTGGTGGCACCGGGGCGCTGGAGTGGTAAGTGGCGGGGTGGTATCGGGTGGTGGGTGGTGGTTTGGCAGGGGTGGATGGTGGTGGCGATGTGGTAGCAGGTGTGGTGGCTGGTGGGTGATGGTTGACCGGTGGGTTGTGGTGTGCAGGTGGTTGGTTGGGGCGTGGGCGTCAGAGTACTCCTGTTGTTGTGCAAGCCAGGCTATTGCCTCACTGCGAGGTTGAGCCTATCATGTTAGAGGCTTAGGGGTGTTGCAATTCCGCCTTGTCTGTACCTGTCTTAGCTGAGTTTCGTAGATAAAGAACCAAACAGGAGTGGATTGTAGGTATGGACTTGGCATGTTTACTCGTATCTGTTGTGTAAAGGGGAATGAACAATCACTGTAGTCTGGATATGGAATGTGTAAACTGATCGTGGCATACTGTTCTGGGCACTTTCTACGTACAAGTGGCTAGTGTTTTAGTGCAAAGCTCTTTATTTTGCATGAATAGAGCTTGTCACATTTGGGGTAGCTCTGATGTTGGAACATATGTTTTATTTACTAAGTTATATGAGCTTCCGCACCAGGACCCATGTTACTGAAAACTCAATCTGTTTTAGCTATTACTAGGGAAACACCATATTTGTTGCTTTGTTCCGCTAGGCCTTTCGGTTTAAATCTTCGGATATTACTGTGTCTAGGCCAAAATTTATTACGAGTAGCTAAAACCCGTGATATGGGCCGGAGGGTAACTTGGGCCATGTGACATGTTTACCGTTTCTTACCAGTGTAAATCCTCATATAGATGTCCTTGTCTTACCAGGTTTTACTTCCTAGGCGATGTAAGTGCATTAGGCAGCTCATGGGTTATATTCTATTTCCTAGAGTTCAAATGTTCTCTGCATTCCTACATTAGTAGGTATGATTTTATTTGTGTGACATATTTCCCAAAGTGCTTCGTCCTATAATAAACTGGCCAGAGGAGTCCTTCGTATTGATGCCCTCACTACCTAATACGATTGGTTTCTAATAATAACCGATCTAGGACTCGTATGTAGCATCCGAAATCCGGATACGGTATGTTAGAGCTGTTTGCTTGTAGCCTCAGTCTTCTCTGGGGCATTACTGTATTGGTATCTATGCTATGCACGGGCTGGCTTAGTAAGGTCGGTATCTTGAGGCCATTTTGTGGTGCGTGCGCGTGATACGCCCGTATATACTTCTTCTTTGTTTTGACGCCTTTGTGCGCGCCCAAAGAGATAGATATATATAACGGATTGCCTTGTAATGGGCATATTTTAATACTATCATGGCGTTATAGTTCCTCCGATACATTTTTTAGGTCAATTTAGATGCTTTGATAAATTTTTGGACTTTGCGAAGCAGGTAATACATACTTTCAGGACGCTGTGATTTTTTCTTAAAAATATGGGGATACACGACCGAGAATTACTGACGTAAAAATTAAATCTGAATTAAAATTGTCGAACGAACTATTCCGAAGCAACATGGATATCGAATCAATTGCATCCTGGTATTCAGTTAAATACTCATAATATCTTTTGCATTAGGCTCTAAGGGCTTTCATTCGTCGCCAATCCGTCTCAACCGTAGGGCCATCAGTGGCGTGACCTACTCCATTAAATTTAGGCTTGTATAGTTTGTTTTGTCACGATACCGGCCGACAAACATTTTCGGCCAGGCCTTACCATTTTCACTAGTTCTTTTCGAAACCTGGTAACCATTTTGATGAAAATGACAGGCAGTCTATGTGACACATCCCCAAAGGATGAGGCGAACAACACATTTGTCAGAACAAACAAGTTCGGTTTACATTCTTCGCAAGTGTTAAAATTTTTAAGATACCGGCACGCATTTAATGTTCAGAAGATATCTGAAGTATTGGAAAGCGTATATAGACTGTTGTAAAGTTTAAAGGTCTGACTTTACACGTCGTCACTATCTATGTAATCTCGGTATAAATTAGCAACGCTACTTATCAGGGGAGCCGTATATTTTCATATAATATTTATCTCATACCTACTTTCACTATGTAGAACAAGAATTTTGTGTTGTCTCTTTTTCTTCTTTTTCACGCAACTTGACTCCTGTGTAGAAGATAGATATTACCTTGTAAAGGATGCATTATAAACGGTATCAGGTTACCTTCTTCGGCGATCCTCTTGTTGCTCTTTTATCACTCTTTGATGTAAGGTAATCAATTATTCCTGTTTTTTGCGAATAAGTATCTCTACTTTAGGTTTCGTGATCAGTGATATTCTACGGTAACATAAAAACAAAAGTATGTTCAGTACAGTACTTTTTGGTGTGCCTACCTCATCTTTTGCCTTTCCCATATCTATTGTGAGTTTCGCTTTTAGCCGTCTCCATTAGTATTGCGTCGTAACAAACAACTCATTCCCACTATAACATGCCAATGTCTTTTGGGTCAGCTTCCTTGCTGCGATGCGTCCTCTGCTTATTTATACATAGAATCTCACCTTTCTTGATTCTCTTGCGACAGTTCATATATAATTTAATTGGCATTAAATAAATTAAAGATCTTATTGATACAATTCAGGCATTTAAAGATATTTAAGTTTAACTCAAACCCGGCTCAGTCGCTTGAGAGGCCGAGATGAGGAAGTGTCCTTGGTCCTATCGTGCTAGGCTGAGGAGTCGTAGGATTGTCCTCTGTCTTCCTGTCTGGGCATCTTTTTTGGCCACTGGAATCAGCGTCTCTTCGCTCAAAACTTTTGGAGATGTGTGAAGGTGGCATGAACCCGTTTGTTCTGCATCATGAAATTGACGACGCCGAGATTTTGTAGATCCGCGCAAGTTGTTTGCCGCAGTTCTTCATTTCACCGTCTTTCATTTTGGCCGTAGGTATACAGTATCTGTTTAGCCTATTTTCCTTTGTTGAGTCTGTTGGTCAAAAAGTCCTCTCAAAAAGTTGACTTAAGTTATAAAAAACTAAAAGTCTAACATATACCTCCATAAAAAAGTCGGTCTTCAAAAAATTCCTCTATTTCCCTCTTTCTCGCTTTCTCGGTCTGTCGTATTTTCGGTTTGTCATTTAAACGTTTTTTTCGATTCGCGCCTTACCTTGCCGACGATTTAAATTATTTTCTAATCATTCACGATTCGTGATTTCTATATCAAAATATTTCTCTTCGTTATCCTCAAAATAATAGCCGTAGTTCGTCTGTTGTTTGACACATCAAGGTCAATAGTTTTTTTCTCCACTTTTTATAAATGCCATTTTTATCAAAAAGTCAAAAAATCGTTATTAAAAAAATCTGTTCCTACCAATTAGGTTTCCGCGCCAAGTAGGAAGCAAGGAAATAGCTCGTTCCCTAAAACACTTCTTTTTCTGTCCGTTGTTGTGGGCATGGGGATATGTCTCGCCCTAATCTTTTCCATTTGTCCACTATTGGCAAATGACTGTCTTAAGGAGGGTGGTGTTGGTTTTTGGATAGGGACTTAAATAAGTATAAAAGCTTTTTTGCTCAATAAACTTGGTGTGAGTCCAATTTTCTGATTCAAACATAACCTAAGATGATCTATTGTATTTAGCTGGAGAAGCATTTAGCAATAATAAAAATTTATAAAGATTAACCACCAGACAACCTAGTTTATAACATATTGTAATTACCTTTATTTTAATACATAAAAACCCAATATAATTGATACAAAATATCAATAATTTTGAAATGTTAAATATTTAATAATGAAAAGTAGAATTCCGTGCGTGTTGTTCGAGATATTACATGTAGTTTATAGTAATATTACGTCTACACAATTACCCTCACTCCGGAACTTTTTTTAGATTATATTTAAGACTTATACTAAGTAAGTATTAAATTAAAAGACATTAATACGTAGGGCACTCGTACCAAGTCAAAGATCAGCAGTAAAAGCTCGATATCTCTCAAAAGTTAAGAGGCAAAAATAGCTTAACTTCTACAAGTATTCAGTATATTTTATGTACAGATAGCCATTATAAATATAAAGCAGTACGCTTGTAAGACAAAGATATTTAGAACTCAATAGAGATGGTTTAAAGTTTTAACGATGCCCTCTCCA